TAACCTGAAACTATTGATCAATAAACATGAACACAATCAGTTCATCTGGGCTTCATTAATGTTCACATAAAGAATGAAAAACACTGATCTGAAAATCAAACCGGAAGTGTGTCTGATTGGAAACTAAAGATAGGAGAACATGTTGAGATAGTTCACTCTGACTGGTATTTAGGATCTGGACATTAATAATATGAACATGACATCTGATGGAATAACTGGAGACGTTCTGTCATGTTGAAGGTCAGAAATCCAGAATCAATAACCAATCAATAACCAATCAGCGGGTCAGGCCTGACGCTGTCCATGGTGCTGAAACATCATCAGCAATGACTCAGAACTGCGTGACGTGGTTCAGCAGCCCGCAACACAAACATGCTGCGGGACGTGGCGGGAGGGAGGGTCTCCTGGGACCAGAACCTGGAACCAGAACCTGGGACCAGAACCTGGGACCAGAACCTGGGACCAGAACCTGGGACCAGTCTGGACTCTGGGTCCAGCCAGGCCCAGATGGTTTACACTCATCATAACAATAATGATCATCATGTTTCCTGGCGGCAGCTTCACGTTGCGTCTCTTCGGAACCACAAACGGAACAGGCGCCGCTCAGTCTTGGCGCCACAGCGGACTGGGCTTCATGCCGGGTCCAGTTCTGGTTCCGACTGACATCAATCCGGTTTCATCCAGAATTAACGCAAACAACTTCCAGAGAAATAAAGCGTCACATTTTAACAGTCCAACTCTCTCCAGTCATCCACATCCCGGACCGAACCGGAGCCGAACCGAACCGGGTCTTACCGTGTCGGGCGGCCGAGCAGAGGCGGCAAGAGGCGGTGAGGAGGAGGCAGAGGGCGGCGCAGAGCCGCGGAGACATCATGGCAGCTCCGCTGGATCCGGAGGAGGAAGAGGAGGAGGAGGAAGAGCAGCCAGCAGGGGGCGCCACAGCGCAGCAGCTGAAGAAGCAGATCAATTAATTATTACATGAATATGATCGGAATATGATAACAGATTTAAATCCTTCATATCAGTGATGATGAAACGAACAGATACACAAACACACACACACTCAGCTACACACACACACTGAGCTACACACACACAGCTAGAAAAACACACACTCAGCTACACAAACACACACTTAGCTACACACACACACTCAGCTACACACACACTCAGCTACACACACACTGAGCTACACACACACACTCAGCTACACACACACTTAGCTACACACACACACTCAGCTACACACACACTTAGCTACACACACTCAGCTACACACACACTGAGCTACACACACACAGCTACACAAACACACACTTAGCTACACACACACAGCTACACACACACACACTTAGCTACACACACACAGCTACACACACACAGCTACACAAACACACACTTAGCTACACAGACACACTCAGCTACACACACACAGCTACACAAACACACTCAGCTACACACACACAGCTACACACACACAGCTACACACACACTGAGCTACACACACACTGAGCTACACACACACACTCAGCTACACACACACACTTAGCTACACACACACAGCTACACACACACTGAGCTACACACACACTGAGCTACACACACACACTCAGCTACACACACACACTGAGCTACACACACACAGCTACACAAACACACACTCAGCTACACACACACAGCTACACACACACAGCTACACAAACACACACTTAGCTACACACACTCAGCTACACACACACACACACTTAGCTACACACACACAGCTACACACACACTGAGCTACACACACACTGAGCTACACACACACAGCTACACAAACACACACTCAGCTACACACACACAGCTACACACACACAGCTACACAAACACACACTTAGCTACACACACTCAGCTACACACACACACACACTTAGCTACACACACACAGCTACACACACACTTAGCTACACACACACAGCTAGAAAAACACACACTCAGCTACACAAACACACACTTAGCTACACACACACACTCAGCTACACACACACACTGAGCTACACACACACACTCAGCTACACACACACAGCTACACACACACACTCAGCTACACACACACACTGAGCTACACACACACAGCTACACAAACACACACTTAGCTACACACACACAGCTACACAAACACACACTCAGCTACACACACACACTGAGCTACACACACACTCAGCTACACACACACAGCTACACACACACACTCAGCTACACACACACACTCAGCTACACACACACACAGCTACACACACACTGAGCTACACACACACTGAGCTACACACACACAGCTACACAAACACACACTCAGCTACACACACACAGCTACACACACACAGCTACACAAACACACACTTAGCTACACACACTCAGCTACACACACACAGCTACACACACACTTAGCTACACACACACAGCTACACACACACTTAGCTACACAGACACACTCAGCTACACAAACACACACTTAGCTACACACACACACTCAGCTACACACACACACTGAGCTACACACACACACTCAGCTACACACACACAGCTACACACACACAGCTACACACACACACTCAGCTACACACACACACTGAGCTACACACACACACTCAGCTACACACACACAGCTACACACACACACTCAGCTACACACACACAGCTACACACACACAGCTACACACACACTCAGCTACACACACACACTGAGCTACACACACACACACAGCTACACAAACACACACTTAGCTACACACACTCAGCTACACACACACACACTCAGCTACACACACACACACTGAGCTACACACACACAGCTACACACACACAGCTACACAAACACACACTTAGCTACACACACACAGCTACACAAACACACACTTAGCTACACACACACAGCTACACACACACACACTCAGCTACACAGACACACTCAGCTACACACACACAGCTACACAAACACACACTCAGCTACACACACACAGCTACACACACACACACTTAGCTACACACACACAGCTACACACACACACACTCAGCTACACACACACTCAGCTACACACACACACTGAGCTACACACACACAGCTACACAAACACACACTCAGCTACACACACACACTGAGCTACACACACACAGCTACACAAACACACACTTAGCTACACACACTCAGCTACACACACACACACACTTAGCTACACACACACAGCTACACAAACACACACACAGCTACACAAACACACACTTAGCTACACACACACAGCTACACACACACTGAGCTACACACACACACTCAGCTACACACACACACTGAGCTACACACACACAGCTACACAAACACACACTCAGCTACACACACACACTTAGCTACACACACACAGCTACACAAACACACACTTAGCTACACACACTCAGCTACACACACACACTTAGCTACACACACACAGCTACACACACACTTAGCTACACAGACACACTCAGCTACACACACACAGCTACACAAACACACACTTAGCTACACACACTCAGCTACACAAACACACACACACTGAGCTACACACACACAAAACACACACTCAGCTACACAAACACACACACACTGAGCTACACACACACACAAACACACACTTAGCTACACACACACACTGAGCTACACACACACACACTGAGCTACACACACACACACACACACACTTAGCTACACACACACACTGAGCTACACACACACACACTGAGACACACACACACACACTGAGCTACACACACACAAACACACACTTAGCTACACACACACAGCTACACACACACTGAGCTACACACACACACTCAGCTACACACACACACTGAGCTACACACACACAGCTACACAAACACACACTCAGCTACACACACACACTTAGCTACACACACACAGCTACACAAACACACACTTAGCTACACACACTCAGCTACACACACACACTTAGCTACACACACACAGCTACACACACACTTAGCTACACAGACACACTCAGCTACACACACACAGCTACACAAACACACACTTAGCTACACACACTCAGCTACACAAACACACACACACTGAGCTACACACACACACAAACACACACTCAGCTACACAAACACACACACACTGAGCTACACACACACACAAACACACACTTAGCTACACACACACACTGAGCTACACACACACACACTGAGCTACACACACACACAAACACACACTTAGCTACACACACACACACTGAGCTACACACACACACACACTGAGACACACACACACACACTGAGCTACACACACACAAACACACACTTAGCTACACACACACACACTGAGCTACACACACACAAACACACAATTAGCTACACACACACACACTGAGCTACACACACACACACTGAGACACACACACACACACTGAGCTACACACACACAAACACACAATTAGCTACACACACACACACTGAGCTACACACACACACACACTGAGACACACACACACACTGAGCTACACACACACACACACTGAGACACACACACACACACTGAGCTACACACACACAAACACACAATTAGCTACACACACACACACTGAGCTACACACACACACACTCAGCTGCTCCTCCCTTCAGCCTCTCAGTAAAAGCTTCAGAACTAAATTCCACCTGAAAGCCTTTTGGAGCTTCAGCTCAACATCATAACTGGAAACACGGCGGCGGCAGCGTCATGCTGTGGGACCCTGTGAACGTTTGCAAATATTGATCTGAAATCTAACTGGGAAAATGTCTGAACATAACCAGCTATGACTGGTAACCATGGGAGCTGTGAAGGGACATTCAGTCTCCAGGACAGGATAGCAGAAGCTGCAGGTCTACGTTGCCCCTCCCCCACCTGATGCTGCTTGTCTGAGCCAGCAGAGCTCAAGCTGCAGCTGCTGAGGAGGAACAAACACACAACTAGAAGAAAGACACCCAGACTCTGATCAGATTCATCAACTTTATTTCTGAAGCTGATCAATAAAATCTTTCAGATTAAATCAGCGACTTCCTGTCATCAACAGGAAGTGGAGAGCCGAGGTCGTCCTGTCCTCAGTCGACGACCAGCGAGTTCCTGATGGACGGAAACAGCTCAAAGAAACCCTGGGGACCAAGCAGACAGGAAGTGGAGGTCAAACAACAGGAAGTAGAGGTAAACAGGAAGTGGCAATGAAAACTCAGGGAGCCGGAGCTCAGCGAGGATCTCCATCTGCCGAGTGACGAGTAGCAGATGGGAGGCCGTGGTTGTTTACGTCTGTTTCCCAGACGACGGCTGGTCCTTTAACACAAACACAGGCTGACCGCAGGTCATGTGACCAGAAGCTAAACCAGCAGCTAAACTAGCAGCTAAACCAGCAGCTAAACCAGCAGCTAAACTAGCAGCTAAACTAGCAGCTAAACTAGCAGCTAAACCAGCAGCTAAACCAGCAGCTAAACCAGCAGCTAAACCAGCAGCTAAGCTAGCAGCTAAACTAGAAGCTAAACCAGCAGCTAAACTAGCAGCTAGTTAGTTTGCTGCTAAACCAGCAATTAAACTAGCAGCTAAACTAGCAGCTAAACTAGCAGCTAAACAAGCAGTTAAGCTAGCAGCTAAACTTGCAGCTAAACCAGCAGCTAAACCAGCAACTAAACTATCAGCTAAACTAGCAGCTAAACTAGCAGCTAAACCAGCAGCTAAGCTAGCAGCTAAAGCAGCTAAACCAGCAGCTAAACCAGCAGCTAAACCAGCAGCTAAACCAGCAGCTAAACTAGCAGCTAGTTAGTTTGCTGCTAAACTATCAGCTAAACTAGCAGCTAAACTAGCAGCTAAACCAGCAGCTAAGCTAGCAGCTAAACCAGCAGCTAAACTAGCAGCTAGTTAGTTTGCTGCTAAACCAGCAACTAAACTAGCAGCTAAACTAGCAGCTAAACCAGCAGCTAAGCTAGCAGCTAAACTAGCAGCTAAACAGCAGCTAAACCAGCAGCTAAACTAGCAGCTAAACCAGCAGCTAAACCAGCAGCTAAAACAGCAGCTAAACCAGCAGCTAAACTAGCAGCTAAACCAGCAGCTAAACCAGCAGCTAAAACAGCAGCTAAACCAGCAGCTAAACTAGCAGCTAAACCAGCAGCTAAACCAGCAGCTGAACCAGCAGCTAAAATAGCAGCTAAACTAGCTGCTAAACCAGGAGCTAAACTAGCAGCTAAACTAGCAGCTAAACTAGCAGCTAAACCAGCAGCTAAACCAGCAGCTAAACCAGCAGCTAAACCAGCAGCTAAACCAGCAGCTAAGCTAGCAGCTAAACTAGAAGCTAAACCAGCAGCTAAACTAGCAGCTAGTTAGTTTGCTGCTAAACCAGCAACTAAACTAGCAGCTAAACTAGCAGCTAAACTAGCAGCTAAACAAGCAGTTAAGCTAGCAGCTAAACTTGCAGCTAAACCAGCAGCTAAACCAGCAGCTAAGCCAGCAGCTAAACCAGCAGCTAAACCAGCAGCTAAACCAGCAGCTAAACTAGCAGCTAAACCAGCAGCTAAACCAGCAGCTAAACTAGCAGCTAGTTAGTTTGCTGCTAAACTAGCAGCTAAACTAGCAGCTAAACTAGCAGCTAAACCAGCAGCTAAGCTAGCAGCTAAACCAGCAGCTAAACTAGCAGCTAGTTAGTTTGCTGCTAAACCAGCAACTAAACTAGCAGCTAAACTAGCAGCTAAACCAGCAGCTAAGCTAGCAGCTAAACTAGCAGCTAAACAGCAGCTAAACCAGCAGCTAAACTAGCAGCTAAACCAGCAGCTAAACCAGCAGCTAAACAGCAGCTAAACCAGCAGCTAAACTAGCAGCTAAACCAGCAGCTAAACCAGCAGCTAAAACAGCAGCTAAACCAGCAGCTAAACTAGCAGCTAAACCAGCAGCTAAACCAGCAGCTGAACCAGCAGCTAAAATAGCAGCTAAACTAGCTGCTAAACCAGGAGCTAAACTAGCAGCTAAACTAGCAGCTAAACTAGCAGCTAAACCAGCAGCTAAACCAGCAGCTAAACCAGCAGCTAAACCAGCAGCTAAACCAGCAGCTAAGCTAGCAGCTAAACTAGAAGCTAAACCAGCAGCTAAACTAGCAGCTAGTTAGTTTGCTGCTAAACCAGCAACTAAACTAGCAGCTAAACTAGCAGCTAAACTAGCAGCTAAACAAGCAGTTAAGCTAGCAGCTAAACTTGCAGCTAAACCAGCAGCTAAACCAGCAGCTAAGCCAGCAGCTAAACCAGCAGCTAAACCAGCAGCTAAACCAGCAGCTAAACTAGCAGCTAAACCAGCAGCTAAACCAGCAGCTAAACTAGCAGCTAGTTAGTTTGCTGCTAAACTAGCAGCTAAACTAGCAGCTAAACTAGCAGCTAAACCAGCAGCTAAGCTAGCAGCTAAACCAGCAGCTAAACTAGCAGCTAGTTAGTTTGCTGCTAAACCAGCAACTAAACTAGCAGCTAAACTAGCAGCTAAACCAGCAGCTAAGCTAGCAGCTAAACTAGCAGCTAAACAGCAGCTAAACCAGCAGCTAAACTAGCAGCTAAACCAGCAGCTAAGCTAGCAGCTAAACTAGCAGCTAAACAGCAGCTAAACCAGCAGGTAAACCAGCAGCTAAACCAGCAGCTAAACTAGCAGCTAAACCAGCAGCTAAACCAGCAGCTAAACTAGCAGCTAGTTAGTTTGCTGCTAAACCAGCAGCTAAACTAGCAGCTAAACTAGCAGCTAAACTAGCAGCTAAACCAGCAGCTAAGCTAGCAGCTAAACCAGCAGCTAAACTAGCAGCTAGTTAGTTTGCTGCTAAACCAGCAACTAAACTAGCAGCTAAACTAGCAGCTAAACCAGCAGCTAAGCTAGCAGCTAAACTAGCAGCTAAACCAGCAGCTAAACTAGCAGCTAAACCAGCAGCTAAGCTAGCAGCTAAACAGCAGCTAAACCAGCAGCTAAACTAGCAGCTAAACCAGCAGCTAAACCAGCAACTAAACTAGCAGCTAAACTAGCAGCTAAACTAGCAGCTAAACCAGCAGCTAAGCTAGCAGCTAAACTAGCAGCTAAACCAGCAGCTAAACCAGCAGCTAAACTAGCAGCTAAACCAGCAGCTAAACTAGCAGCTAAACTAGCAGCTAAACCAGCAGCTAAACCAGCAGCTAAACTAGCAGCTAAACTAGCAGCTAAACCAGCAGCTAAACTAGCAGCTAAACTAGCAGCTAAACCAGCAGCTAAACTAGCAGCTAAACCAGCAGCTAAGCTAGCAGCTAAACAGCAGCTAAACCAGCAGCTAAACTAGCAGCTAAACCAGCAGCTAAACCAGCAACTAAACTAGCAGCTAAACTAGCAGCTAAACTAGCAGCTAAACCAGCAGCTAAGCTAGCAGCTAAACTAGCAGCTAAACCAGCAGCTAAACCAGCAGCTAAACTAGCAGCTAAACCAGCAGCTAAACTAGCAGCTAAACTAGCAGCTAAACCAGCAGCTAAACCAGCAGCTAAACTAGCAGCTAAACTAGCAGCTAAACCAGCAGCTAAACTAGCAGCTAAACTAGCAGCTAAACCAGCAGCTAAACTAGCTGAAACTCCTTCGTCCTCCGACTGACGACCAGACGGACAGTGGCAGGAAAACATCCAGAAGACAAAACATAGTCAGGTGTGGAACCTGAAATGTTCCAGCAGAGGCATGGAAGCATTTCTGAGTCTCCAGGCTTTATGAGGAGATTAGACATGTTGAACAACGCTTATTTACTGAGTTACTACGGCAACACCGTCAGGTCAAAATGGCCGCTGAGCTTCCAGCTGTTTACCCCAGAGACTGGTCACCTTGAACAGGGTGGTGCTCTGCAGCACGCTGGAGGTGCAGCACATCTCCCGGATGGAGTGCATGGCCAGCTGCGGCGCTCCGATGTCGGCCACGGGAACGCCGAGCCGCGCCGCCAGGATGGGGCCGATGGTGGTCCCACAGGGCTGTCGTTACGCACCATCACATCCTGCAGGGGCCACACGGACAGGAAGTCTTATTCTGAAAGGACTCCAGGCATGTAACGTTTGTCCTCTAGTGGTCGTTACTGTGAACTGCAGGCGGAAGCTGCTCTGTTTGCTTCCATTTCTACAGTTTACTTTATTTAGACCGTTCTGGATGCCTGTAGGAAGGGTTGACGAAGTCAATTCAGTGCAGATGCTATGAGTGTTAGCATATCAGCATGGCTGTTTGCGCCAGCTAGCTCCATCATGGCTCAGGTGTTCGGACTAACTGATGTAGATGTGACATGAGATTATCAGCTTCCAGGCGAACAGGAAGTGGGCGTGGCAAACAGGAAGTAGGCGTACCTGCAGTGGCACGCCGACGCGGCCCGCCACCTCCCGGACCACGCAGGCGGTGACGGCGGTGGTGGCGTAGCGCTGGTTGCTGTTGAACTTGATGACCGGGCCCTGAAAGCAGAGAGCGCTTCAGTAAAAGCTGCTGCTATTGGACGGTTGAGGCGGCCAATCGGGGGGCAGACTGACCTTGTGGAAAGCGGTGGTTCTCTTCATGCTTGTCCCTGAGAAAACAAGCACAGCTCCAGGTTAGCAGCTGGTTGGTTGACTTTACCCAGTTAACAACAGACTGGATCCAGCAGCCCGCAGCATGACGCTGCCTCCGCCAGCAGCTGGCTGAAAGCCCCGTCTGGATGAAATGCTTGCTGATTTGGAGCAAAGCGGATCCAGACGTTGCCGTTGAATCAGACTGACGTGTAGTTGGGGTGGACGGCGTGCGCCATGTCGGCGCTGATCATGAAGGAGCGCGGCGCCGCCTGCTGGAAGGCGCTGGGGTTGCAGGCGGAGGCGGCCAGCCGACTGAGGATCAGCTCCGTCAGGTTGGACTGCGCTCCCTGGGCGCTCTCCGACCCCACCTGCAGCGGACGCAGAGTTCACTGAGGGGCTGGGTGGGGGTCGAGTCAGAGTCAGAGGTCGAGTCTACTCACCTCCTCGTTGTCGAACAGAGTGATCATCCTAATGTTGGGGTCAGAGGTCAGAGAGTCTGTGCCGCAGGACTCCACCAGGCCCTGGAAGAGGAAGCAGATGGAGGAAACGCTCTGCAGGAGGCGGAGCTGCAGGTGCAGTACCGGCTCTGACCTGCAGGGCACAGTAGCAGCTGTGCAGGTTGTCCAGACGGGGGGAGAAGATGAACTCCTCGTAGACTCCTCCCAGAGCCTGCAGGAAGACATGGAGGTCAGAACGGGCCGGCCCAAAGCACACGCAGTGGCGGGTGGGGAGGGCGGCGGTGGCGGGTGGGGAGGGCGGCGGCGGCGGGTGGGGAGGGCGGCAGAAAACATTGATGTTCATTTAAATTCTGCACTGATTCAACTGCAGAGCAAATTATTTCAAATAAAACATCTAATAATAATAATTGACTTTGTTACTGCAGACAACTGACATACATGCCTGCTCCTTTTGCTATGTACTAGCATGTAGCGTGTTGTAGCGTGTTCGTTAGCGTAGCTACTCAATATGTAGCCAGTTGCTTTCGTTCAGCTGAACCTTCAGTGGCCTAATCAAAGGCCGTCCTGCTCACAGTGACATTTCCTTTGGCTGGTTCACTCAAAACATTTCAAATATGAAGCAGAAGCAACAACATGGCGGTCGGCCCGTTTCTGATCTCCCTGGTAACCGACAGGAAGTGCAGACTCACCGCCGGCTGCGTGTCGACCAGACACAGCTCGAAGTCCAGCAGAGAGTCCGGCTGGACGCCCAGCTCCGAACACAGAACCCTGACCAGGGCGGGGTGGTGCTTGTCAGCCTGGACCCAAACAGAATCAGGATCAGAACCAGAACCAGAACCGGGCCAGGCGTCGAGAAGAACTGGCTTCACCGTGTTGGTGGCAGAGGAAGCGTCTCCAGACGAAGACGATCCGGTCTCCAGCTCCTCCTGGACCGCCGTGCCGAGGATGGGAACCCTGAAACAAACACGGTGCGTTCACTGCAGCTGGGAAAACACAGAGCCCTTCGTGTTCCCTGCCGCTGGGCTCACAGGTGGTTCTCCTTGTTGGGGCCGAAGGCGTCGTTCACGTCGCGCTGCAGGTGGATGGCCAGGTGAGGCACCCGGAGCAGAGGGCGGGGCACGTGGACCAGGCGCTGGACCAGCTGGCCGTCGCTCTGCGGAGGAGGAGGAGGAGGAGGAGGAAGAGCGCACACATCATCATCTGCAGGATAAAACTGTTACTTTGTATTTCAGCCTGTCCAAGGCCACAGGGAGCCAATCAGATCTGCAGATCATCTCTGAGCCACTGAGCGCAGAAATCCTGTTTCACACCTAAAAGTCACAGACATTCGTCGTTATCGTGAGCTGTAGCTCACTTTGAAGTGATGCGTAACCGTCACCACAGCAATCAGAGTCAGACAGCGTGAGGTCAGAGGTCGAGCTGAGAGCAGATGTGAGTTTAAGGTCTGGTTCACGGTTTAAGGATCGTTGGACGATTTTCCAAACCTCAGTGATCGTTTATTGAATGCTGCTCAATACGTCGATCCCAGAAGGTTTTCAGTTTGTGGACGTAACAAAAAGAAAAGGCGTTTGATGAAAGGAGCTGCTCTATATTTGCTGCTCTATATTTGCTGCTATATTTGGAGGCGAGTTATGGTTTTTCACAGTTAACATTTTAACTGAATAAACATAACCACATATAATAAACATATACAAAAATGACCTTAATATCTTGTAATAAACATTTCCACATATCACGTCCGATGTCAACGGTTTGGGTCCCTCTCGCATCACCGCGCGTTCTGATTGGGTCCCTGTCACATTGGACAGGCTGCGATGATGGAGCCGAGACCCTGCTGCATATTCAACAAGCCGCCACACACTGAACACTGTCATAAAGGGCAAATTGGGGCAAAAAAACAGAAAACGAATAAGCTGACGCACCCCTCCCCGGAGCAAAAAGTGCCAAGTCTCCACCTGTAATCAAAAGGCTGGAGATCACTGACATAGACAACGGCGCCCCCTGCTGCTCCCTGGGTGAACTACCTTCGTCATGACGCGGCCGGCCACCGTCAGGTCTCGGTCGAACCAGGTGTTCCAGATGCCGCCGCCGTAGCACTCCACGCCCACCTGCAGCACGCCCTGCTTGGTCCTCTTGGAGCGCGGCTTCACCTGCAACGGGAAGCAGATGCAGCACCGGTGGAGGCGAGGGGACGGGCGGGGTCGGAGGTCGTACCCTGAGGCAGGGGCTGTCGGTGTGCGCTCCGATCATGGAGAAGCCGTTTCCTGGCACATACTTTCCTCCCACGGCGAAGGCGATCAGGCTGGAGAAATTCCTCGTCACAAAATACTGCAGAGAATATCTTTGTTAGCTTCCGCCCGCTAGCTCCCTCTGACCTTTGACCCCCACACCCACCTTGCTGGCGGGCCGGATGTCCCAGCGCTCCGTCTCCTTCAGCTCGGTGAAGCCGGCCTCCAGGAGGCGCCGCCTGCATCCTCCACCACTGCAGGGAACCACAGAAGAAGAAGAACAGCGTCGCTATGGTGACATGTGTTGAACTGAGAGGGGTCAAAGGTCAGACCATCTGGCCCCTCTATGTCTTATCTAAAGCGGGACCAGGTCAGCCTCCTGCTGACCCAACAGAACCGCTGGTCCAGCCACCAAACCCAACCGGGTCAATCAGAACCAGAACCAGAACCGGAACCAGAACTTGAACCTGGAACCAGAACCAGAACAGGAACCAGAACTAGAACCAGAACCAGAACCAGAACTAGAACCAGAACTTGAACCGGAACCAGAACTTGAACCGGAACCAGAACCAGAACCAGAACCAGAACTAGAACCTTGAACCAGAACCAGAACTTGGAACCAGAACCAGAACTAGAACGGAACCAGAACTAGAACAGGAACCAGAACTAGAACCAGAACTTGAACCGGAACCAGAACTTGAACCGGAACCAGAACCAGAACCAGAACTAGAACCAGAACCAGAACCAGAACCAGTGGGTTGAACAGAAACTGTTCATGTCTCCACTGGGTAAAACTAAAACCTATCAGCAGGAACCGGAACCCAACAGAACCTCGGTGTGAACCGGTCAGAACCCAGAAATGATGCTGTTCATGGGTCGCACAGATGTTGTAAAAGAAGTTTGGATCAAAGTTCTCTCTGCATCCGCAAAGTCATGTTGGACCCTCAGGTTCGGGGTCAAAGTTCAGGTATCATTTTAGATTTTGAGCTGATAATACAATAGCAGCTTCTTGTCAATTAATTACTCTACAAAGTTTGCCGAGTTCAAAAAGCAGCTATAACGAGTTAGGAAAGTGATCACGATAATAATTATTCATTTTAAAACGCCCTGAGAATAAAGAAATGCTTAAATTTACACATTTCTGAACGGAGTTCAGTGCGACGCTTCCGGAGTTTCCAAATGCTAAACATCGCACTTTGCCTGGAGCTTACCGTGATACGGAGACACTCCTCTGTTGACGAACTGCAGGAACTCCTTGGCTGCCGCCTGGACCGCTTCTTTCTTCATGATTAAAGTCTGAAAAACAACCAGTAAGAGCAAGAAAAGTCCAAATCAGAGCTGCGCAGGTTATCACATCCGGGTCACGAGCCTTGGACCCGGGGAGACGAAACAGCTAGCAAAACTTACTTTTCAGGGGTAATAGATTCAAACTTCCACCTGAAGGACACAATCAGTAAATATAAAGTGGATTAAAATGCTAAAAATCAACTGAAGTTTGAAGTTAAAAGGAAAAGTGTAGGGCGTCCGATAAAGGAATCACCGGTTAGCTCATCTGAAAAACAAAGCGACTCTCCGATTTTCCTGCTTTTCTTGTTCTGCCGACCAGTCAGCTCGGCTTTCAGCGAGGAAATAACACCTCCCACATACCCCACTCGTTAGATAATCATTTTCATAACGCTTACCAGCATGAATTACACTTTCAAAGTCTAAACTCCACCGAGAGCAGCGACAGAGAAAAGAGGTGAACGACGTTTGCACCCAGACCACCAGCGCCACCCGGCGGCAAGGAGGTCACAAATTACATCATTATTCAAAAATAAATGATACAATTTATGAACAGAATAATCCGTCCAAACAACTAACCCTAACCCTAAACCCAGCCACAAGTGAAACATTTGTTTTCCTCCTTAGAGCCAAGTTGAAATCTCTTCCCCAGTGTGCTGGACACAGGAAGTCCACATTTAAATGGATCAAGCAAACAAGTTAAAGAAAAATATTTCAAATCAACAACTTCATGATGAAACTTTAGTCATTATTTAAAAGAAAATAACACAAACTCCCAGTAATCCCCCTGTTGTGAACATTTCTGTGTATCGTCAGATGCTTCACCACCACAGGAAGTTGCCTTATATGGACAGGAAGAGGAGGAGGAGGAGGATGATGATGATGAAGGCTCAGGCAGAGAGGAGGTGATGTTTACCTCAGCTGTCAGCTCACATCTTCTGAAGAAAAGCAGAGGAAAACGCACACACACAGAGACACAGAGAGAGACACAGAGACACACAGAGAGACACACAGAGACACACAGAGACACACAGAGAGACACAGAGACACACAGAGACACACAGAGACACACAGAGAGACACAGAGACACACAGAGACACACAGAGAGACACAGAGACACACACAGAGACACACAGAGACACACAGAGAGACACAGAGACACACAGAGACACACAGAGACACACAGAGAGACACAGAGACACACAGAGACACACAGAGAGACACAGAGACACACAGAGACACAGAGACACAGACACACACAGAGACACACAGAGAGACAGAGACACACAGAGACACAGAGACACAGACACACACAGAGACACACAGAGAGACACAGAGACACACAGAGACACACAGAGAGACACAGAGACACACAGAGAGACACAGAGACACACAGAGACACACAGAGACACAGAGAGACACACAGAGACACACAGAGACACACAGAGACACACACAGAGACACAGAGAGACACACAGAGACACACAGAGACACACAGAGACACAGAGAGACACAGAGACACACAGAGAGACACAGAGACACACAGAGACACACAGAGACACAGAGACACACAGAGACACACAGAGACACACAGAGAGACACAGAGACACACAGAGACATAGAGACACACAGAGACACACACAGAGACACAGAGACACACAGAGACACACAGAGAGACACACAGAGACACACACAGAGACACAGAGACACACAGAGACACACAGAGAGACATAGAGACACACAGAGACATAGAGACACACAGAGACACACAGAGACACACAGAGACACACAGAGAGACACACAGAGACACACAGAGACACACAGAGACATAGAGACACACAGAGACACACACAGAGACACAGAGACACACAGAGACACACAGAGAGACACACAGAGACACACAGAGACACAGAGACACACAGAGACACACAGAGAGACATAGAGACACACAGAGACATAGAGACACACAGAGACACACAGAGACACACAGAGAGACACACAGAGACACACAGAGAGACACACAGAGACACACAGAGAGACACAGAGGACACACAGAGAGACACACAGAGACACACAGAGAGACATAGAGACACACAGAGACATAGAGACACACAGAGACACACATTTATTGATAGAGTGAGAGCAGCAGGATGGATCAATGGATCAATGGATCAATGGATCATCGATGGATCGGATCACAGCAACATGTTGGAGGAAAATAAAACATAAAACAGATTTTAAAGAATAAAAGATTAAAAATGGATCCAGACTCTGAACAGTTTGAGAAGGTGAAATAAACTGTGAAGAGGTGACCTTTGACCTTCCTCCAAATGAATCAATTCATCAGTTTTATCGTTTGATTTATTTAAAGTGGAAACAGAAGCTGCTGCAGGTTATCAGCTGAAAGGTTCTGGGCCAAACTGGGTCAAACTGGGCCAAACTGGGCCAAACCCAGAAACAAAAGGAGTTTAAAATAAATACATTCTGCTCGTATTCCCAGTGAAATATTTGACTGGAAATACTTTCAAGTGATGTTTGGAGGTTAAAATCCAGAAACTGTAAGAACGATGATTCATTCATCAGATCGCTTCATGTTTTTGGTTTTAATGGCACGAACATGACGACGTCACGTTGCTCCTGATTGAACTCCCAGTCGCTGCAGCAGCTCCAGGCTGCAGCAGCTCCAGCAGCTCCAGGCTGCAGCGGCTCCAGGCTGCAGCGGCTACAGGCTGCAGCGGCTCCAGGCTGCAGCGGCTCCAGGCTGCAGCGGCTCCAGGCTGCAGCAGCTCCAGCAGCTCCAGGCTGCAGCGGCTCCAGGCTGCAGCGGCTCCAGGCTGCAGCGGCTCCAGGCTGCAGCAGCTCCAGCAGCTCCAGGCTGCAGCGGCTCCAGGCTGCAGCGGCTCCAGGCTGCAGCGGCTCCAGGCTGCAGCAGCTCCAGGCTGCAGCAGCTCCAGCAGCTCCAGGCTGCAGCGGCTCCAGGCTGCAGCGGCTCCAGGCTGCAGCGGCTCCAGGCTGCAGCGGCTCCAGGCTATAAGGCAGCAGAGCATCCTCACATTGTTTCATCATGACGACAGAGAGACTGGAGAAGCTCAGAGCGCCGAGTCACTGAGCTGTGACTCGGCGCTCTGAGCTTCCCTCAACGTTTCCCTGATCGTCAATACAAATGTTTCTGATCAGCTGATCATCTGCAGCATGAAGGTGGAAATAAACCTGACATTCAGCTTTAGGATGGAAATGTGAGGAGTTTGCTAGTTTGATGGTGATGTGACTGAAACCAGGCGGTTCTTGTTTCCCTCTGGAGTGTTGGGGACCGCAGGAGGAGCTGCGCTGGTCCGGTTTGGCCCCCGGGCCTCCGGTTTGTGAGGAAGAGGAGAGGCGATGATGTCATCAGGGGGCTGGAGGGGGGCCAGAGGGGTAAGTAAAAATACCCGGGGCGGTTGGTTCCTCTCAGAGCTCCAGCTGCAGCGCCTCCATCATGGCCTCCTTCTCCTCCTCCGCCCGCTCCGCCTCCTCCTACCGCCGCACCTTTGGCCACGGCTCCTACGCCTCGCCGTCCCTCAACCGCTCCTTCCTGGGCCCCGCCGGCGCCGGAGGGGCCCACGTGACCTCCAGGGTGTACGAGGTGACCCGCGGCTCCGTCTCGCCGGCCTACCGCCCCCTGGGGTCCGCCGGGCCCCTGGGGGCCGCCCGGCCGGCGGCGGGGCGCTACGGCGGCCTGGGGGAGACGCTGGACTTCAGCCTGGCGGACGCCCTCAACCAGGAGTTCCTCGCCACGCGCACCAACGAGAAGGCGGAGCTGCAGACCTGAACGACCTTCGCCAGCTACATCGAGAAGGTCCGCTTCCTGGAGACGCAGAACCAGGCGCTGGTCTGGAGGTCCAGCGGCTCCGGGACCGGAGACCCCGCGCATCGCCGACCTCTACCAGGACGAGATGAACGAGCTGCGGCGGCAGCTGAGGTCCTGACCAATCACAGGGCCCGGCTGGAGGTGGAGAGGGACAACCTGGCCGACGACCTGGACAAGGTCAAAATGAGGTAGGACCAGGGGTCAGAGGTCACGGAGGACTGGGGGTCAGAGGTCAGGGAGGACTGGGGGTCAGAGGTCAGGGAGGACTGGGGTCAGAGGTCAGGGAGGACTGGGAATCAGAGGTCAGGGAGAACCAGGGGTCAGAGGTCAGGGGGAATATTGTGAATTCATGTTCATCTCATGAAACTGAAACTTTTCCTGCTAAACTAGCTGCTTTAGCTTTAGCTTTAGCGATGGCCTGGCTAAACGTTTACTCTTAATTTATAAATGAAAAGGTTTTAGTTTGGACTCTGTTGCGAGACGTTGCAGATTACAGATTATAGATTAGTGCTGATGTTTATGTTAAATTCTTCCATAAAAGGAGAGAGTCTGCCATGCTAGCCTGCCATGCTAGCCTGCCGTGCTAGCCTGTTGTGCTAGCCTGCCGTGCTAGCCTGTTGTGCTAGCCTGCCGTGCTAGCCTGTTGTGCTAGCCTAATTCACAAGAGCTGCAGCATCTTTAATAAAATACATTCAGTTAATTTCTTAGAGAAATGTTTCATGTTGGGTTTGTTTCTAAGGTGTCATGACGCAAATGAAGCACTGTGTGTATCTGTGTGTGTGTGTGTGTGTGTTTGTGTGTGTGTGTGTGTGTGTGTGTGTGTGTGTGTGTGTGTGTGTCCAGGCTGCGGAGGAGATCCTCCAGAAGGAAGAAGCTGAGAACAGCCTCGCTGCGTTCAGAGCTGTGAGTGTCGATGCGATTTAGTAATAACTGATTTTCTGCTGTTTTTGTTACTTATTGTTGCTACACAGAAAACAAAACACTTTTCTATTCATATTTTTATTTTAATGTGGTTTAAATCTGAAAGTTTAGCTTGTTTACATTTCTTTGTGTTATTTTTGAGGCTTTTATTTTGGTGTGATTTCTGCAGGGGGGCTCGTCCGGGATCCTTTTTATTCCATTTTACTCCAGAAACAATAAAATAAAACATAATAATTATCAAACTAGCATTTTAATTTGACAGAAAAGTTTATTTTTGTTGGATATTTGAAAGGAAGAGAATAGAAAGGAAGTTTTCTCTTACGTGGATTCCTCGCATTTTTGACTTGTTAAAGTTGGACTTCCTTTTTTTTCCATTTAACTTCCTGTTTGACTTCCTGTTTCAATGTGTCGCTCAGAGGACGTGTGATTTGTTCTGCAGGATGTGATGCCGCCACTCTGGCCCGTCTGGACCTGGAGAGACGCATCGAGACGCTGCAGGAGGAGATCGCCTTCCTCAAGAGGATCCACGAAGAGGTTCCTGCTCCTCCTCTTCCTTCTCTTCCTCCTCCAGCCGGCCCAGTCCAAGCTGCAGACTCACTGTCTCCCCCTGCAGGAGATCCGGGAGCTGCAGAACCAATGCAGGAGACACAGGTCCAGGTCCAGATGGACATGTCCAAGCCGGACCTGACGGCGGCGCTGAGGGACATCCGGGCCCAGTACGAGGGCATCGCCGCCAAGAACATCGCCGAGGCTGAAGAGTGGTACAAGTCCAAGGTCACCCACTTCCTGCTGCTTCCTGTTTACCTGCATGTGTGTCTGACCCGGCCACTAGAGGGCAGCACTGACAGGGCAGATGAAGACGGAGTTCTGTCTCCACAGGTTTCGGACCTGAACCAGGCTGTCAGTAAGAACAACCAGGCGCTGCAGCAGGCCCGCCAGGAGACGCTGGAGTTCAGGCACCAGATCCAGGCCTACACTTGTGAGACTCCCTTAAAGGGACGGTACGTAGAATCAGAATCTCACAGGCCAGGGAGCGTCCTCAGAACCGCTGGATGGTTCTGATGAACACAACCACAATGA